TCACACATTAAATTTTCTTAGTGAAACATCCCTTCATGTGTTAAGGGTAGAGCTAGGAATAGAAGTTGACATGTTTGCTTAGGCCCACCTCACATAAACTCACAATTTAAATGGTTTGCCCACATTTAAATGGGTTAAAGAAATTTAGGTCCTCATCTGCACCACGTAGCTTGCGGCCGTGCAGGCCTATCTGCGATTGCAAGACAAAAAATCAAAAAAGAAAAATCAAAAGAAAAAAAAATCATTGTCCATATTAAAAATATCCAAATTTATATCTCACGCATTGATTTAATTTAATTTTTTTAATGAATTAATTAATCTCTATACATAAATATGTCTATGTGTAAGAATATTTTTAGAAATTTTTAAAATAGAAAATTTGTAGAAGTTTTAATTTTTTTTATCTAATTCATTTTTTATTTATCATATATTTTATAAATTTAATTTTAAAATTTTTAAAATAAATTATCAATTATAAAAATTTTTTATTTATATAAATTTTAAATATAATTGATATATTCAAATAAAATATTTATTTGAAGGTTAAATATGATTTTATCAATGAAAAATGAACAAATTTTGATATTGATACTTGTAAAAAAAAATTCTTTATTTTTCATCCATTTAAAATTTAAACGGATGTTTTTAGTCTTAATTATGTGTAATCATTTTTAATTACTTATTTGTTAATTAAAAGGTCAAGTGATCATCTCATATGTTACCCATAATTATTAATAAAATTATGTTAGTATGCTACAACTCTAAAAAAAATTATAAGTCATTAAAATAAATATTATTTACATACGTTAAAATCATCCTTATGAACTAAAACTTATGATTTTATATTTTAGAAGGATGAATGTAACGATCCATTTTGATCCCTACACTTAACGACTTATAACTAGAAACAATAAAACAACTAATAGCTTAGAGTTCTAAGTCTATTGATAACTGAATATCTATTATATCTCATTCATGTGAAAGTGAAACAACTATACAATCATATATGATATAAATACAGTAATTCACTAAAAGTAAACTATATAACCTAAGTTGTAAGTCAAGCAACTTCTATACAAAGTACTACATTGTAGTATCATCCAAAAATATAAACAACCTTGTCATCTTCTTGATACCCAACTCAACAACAACACCTTGTACTTGTACCTATTCCTACTTTACTCTCATACCATGTAGGATCATCACAATCCAAACTATATGAAAAACATGCAAAAGTAAATTAGTTTAAAGTGACAACATATAAACAACACAAAACATCAGCACATCTTCCCTAC